TGAAACCCAATAAGCAGTCCAAGTGCCTAGGTGTCAGTCTGAGTGCATAGGAGCCTAAAATAACTCCTAAGAACTCTAAGATTTGAGAGGGAGGAAAGCAGGGTCCTAGCTCCTATGCATTAGGCCTCAGTACTTGGGAGCAAGAACCCATCGCCTAGGCGCCAACTCACTTTTAAATCATGATTTTTCTCAGGTTTTTGCTTAATTTTGGCCCGAACAATTCCCAAAGCATCTAACAAGTGCAAATGCTCTGAGATAAAGGGAATTTATGCATGAGAGGAAATAGGAAGTGGCTATGTGGCCACTTTTTTGGACACTTGAAAGGTTTTGGAATAAGGAGGTTTCAGCAAAAAGGAAGAGGAAGGCTGCTTGATCTTAAGGTAGACCATTTTTCAGCAAAAAGGAAGAGGAAGGCTGCTTGATCTTCGGTTCCTTTTCCTAGGGATCTTGACAGTTTATGGCTAGCTGCTTGAGGTGGAGAGCTATAGAGAAAGGTGAGAAAGGAAGCTTTTCCCCCCTCCTCATCTTCTTCCCCAAAATCTCATTTTCTTCCATCAAAATTTCTTCTGCTCATTCCTCATCTTTTTCCTCAACCATCTCTTAGAATGTCTAAGGGATTTGCTTGGAGGAGCTACATTGAGAGCTTCATATCTCCCAAGGAAGAAGGAGAGCTGCATCTCTACTAAGGAAGAAGGAGAGCTTCATCCTCATAAACTCGGAGCAATGGGAAAGCAAAGGGAATGATTCATCAACCTTTACGTTGTGAGAAACCACTCTAAACTCATGTTCTTTCTTTCTAGAAAATCCCTAGGTTTTGTTTTAGAGAAAAAAAGGCTAGGTTCTGTGTTAGAGTGAACCATTAGGTTTGGAGCTATTTTTGTTAATTTCCCTTCTGAATCTTTGAATTTTACCTCCATTTCCCTAACACATTGACCTAAATGGTTAGGAACCTAGTAACCCCATGATTGGTTGGCTACTTCATCCCATGATGAGTGGGTTGAAATCACCTCGATCTAGGGAACAATAAATCCCTTTGATGCTCATTCCCTAAATCACGAAGGCTATGTTCGTGAGGGAAAACCTTCATTTTTTTGAATGTCTAATTTTCTCAGAAAAGCTCCTTTAAGTTTTGCTAAAAAATTAGAGGTGACCATTTGTTATGTCACATAACGGAAGGTAGCTACAACATCATCACTAACCCTAGATCCTTATTCCAGATTGCTAGGAAAATTATCATTCATCATCAAATTTAATTAGGTCTCATTTTCTTGCACGTGATTGCATATATATTATGTGCATTACATGATTTTGTAATGCGCATCAAAATCTCCATTTTACATGTGTCATTGATCAGCCATCAACATCATCAACTCGATCAACTATCATCCATTAAAGTGACTGATCGACCTCCTCCAATCAGTTCAGTTAATCAACCTTTTCTGATGACTGTTGACCTAATTTTTGATAGTCTAATTTCTTCTTTATAAGCTTAAGATCTAGCCATAGGAATTTTTTATTGACTATCCTATAAGACTTTGTAAATTGAGCCCTCCCACATAAAAATTCCAAACACCTTTTTACTCCTCTTGTCAAGTCCCACCTGCGTGGTCATAAGCCTCCAAATGTAGTTTGGGAATGTCAAGACTAACATGCGGAGACTTGCGAGTGAGTTCCTATAAGTTTAATCAGGCCTTAGGACAACCCTGGGTGACTTGGTATTGGGCATAACCACACACACACACAAGCTTTTCACAACCTCACACACACCCAAAACCCTAAAATAATATTGCACTTGACCTATCCCCCCACTCTTTTGGAAACTCACGTGGGTGGTCCCAAGCCCTTAGCTGTTAGCTAAGGTGGTTAGGAACAACAAATGTAGGATCCAAAATAGGCTCACCCATTGATCTCATGGCACTAAGAGGGTGATTTCACGAATAACATATCCAATGAGCTTCAATTCCACCAAAACTTCAAACTTTGGCCTTTTACCCCTAAACTTCCCCAAAATTACCCTGAAACCCTAAAATTTTCAAAATTGCCCAAATTCCCAAATTCTCACAAAAAATCATATTAAACAACTCCAAACCACTCCAAATTGCCCAAAGTACCCCAAATTTCCACAAAATTCCCAAAATAACCTTAACCACCCAAAATTATCAAAATGCCCCTCATGTTAAAAAAATTCCCAAAACCTCAAAGTTCACTCCAAAATCCTCCAAAATCAATCCCCACCACTCAATAATCCCAATTGCACCCAAATCCATCAAAATTGACGAAAATCTCCAAAATTGCCCCTAAATGCCTAAAGTCCCCAAATCACCCTCAATTCCCATCAAATTTTCCAAGCCCAATTAGAACCAAATCCCATCCCAATTAGACCCAATTTTAAGCCCAAATTCCAAGCCCAAATCAAGTGCCCCAAGTTAACCCCACTTCCAAATTCCATCAAATTGAGCCATGTAATCATTTCAATTCCATAAAATTTGTTTCCTAAATACTTCATGACATTCTCCTAGATCAATTTGAGCCTTTGATTGATTTTAATCCAAAGCTAAGCCCAAGCCCAATCTCAAGCCCAAACCACATTTTAAGCCTAAATACAAATCCACCTCAAACCTTTTGGATTAACCAAACTCTAATTACTCCAACCCATCCTAAGCTTATGATCTAACCACCTCAATCCTTGCCTAAACCCACTTTTGGGCCATGGACCAAGGCTCCCTTGAATCATGGAAACCCCTCAACTAAAAAAAGTTAACCCATGACATCAGCCATCAAACTCCAAGCCTAATCATAATTAAACCTTCCCCCGACCTTCCTGAGCCAGCTAGCTGCCTCCCCTGGCTTGGCTGGTCGATTTAGTGGCTATAAAACCAAAACCTGAGAGCTTGCACCTTGCCTTAGACAAAAAATTGAGCTAATCCAATGTGGCTCTCTCCCATTGGAGAATTGTGCTTCTCATCCCTCCACCTCAGCCTATTAGCATCAACCAATGTCAGCCTGAGGCCTCTCTCTTGGCCTCAATTATAAATAGTCCCCTCCAAGACCAAATTTGAAGATCATCCAAAACCAAGAGGAAAATCTGCCCAATTGCTTCCAGAGCTTCTCACAGACCTCCTAAGTGCAATCCAACCATCCTTAGCCACCTATTCACACTGTCCAAGCTCAAAGCTCAATTTGACCACACAAATCCAAGAACTTTTTGACCATTTCACTAAACCTTTCAAAAGCTTCAAATTAACCATTCGATAAGCTTCCCCACACTTCAATAACGCCTCCTAAATCAAAAGCCTCCTCTCCCGAGCACCCTAACATAGTCCTAAACGAAGCTCGAGTCACCCTTCAACTGAAATCATACTTAGGCTACTTCTCAACTCAAGACAACACTTCGAGAAGTTTCGTGGACTCAAGACGATCGTCTCCAACTAACCTAATCGAGGTCTCACCTCTTAGGCAAATGTATAACTCAAAATAACTAAATTGAGTCTCAGTTTCATCAATTGTGAAGCAAACTTGTATTTCATACTATTTGATCGTATAGATAAGTTCGTCTCACTTAGATGAAGATATAGGAACAAACCCAAGTGATTTGGTTGAGAATCGAGTGAGATATTAGGTCTAGAACATGGACGGTTCTCGGGTTAGGCGGATGCCGCCCATTCCCGAGTGTATCGAATGGACATATCAGATTGTGCCGGACGGACCAAAGGAGCGCGAAGGGTTGGCTGATGAGGCAGGCTACGTGGAAAGCGCAACGAACCTGCAAATGACGCGTACGTGTTCTGAAACACCGAGGTTGCGTTGGCAGTTGACTCGGATAAGTAGATAAATAGGGCATTTTGAAATTAAAATGCTTCAACTTTAAAAACACATATCTTGGTGTAGAAAATTTATAAAAATAAAATAAAAATACCCCTGTGCTCAGGGAACAAAAAAGAAAAAATTACATCACCATGATCAATAATTGATAATCCAGTAATAGAATATTTTTCAAGTATTTTTCATTGAACCAATGACATATTTTTTTATTGGAATGTTTGATGGAAATTCTACCAGTGGTTGTTTAGAAATTTTTTCGACTGATAAAGCGCTCTTTTCCATCCGACATTCTAATTTTCTTGTCCGCCATTAGTTAACGCTTATTTTTAGTAAATATTCCAATAAACTCTCTCTAATTACTTCTTTTGGCGGTGTTTTTCTTTTCTATAATGCATTTTTGCT